AAAAAAAATCAGTTGACAAAAAAAACCCGATTTTAGATTCATGTAAAACTCTCTCTCTATCTTTATAATTGAATATGAGATCAACAACAAAATAGATTTGTACTAGATAAGAAGTATACATTCTTCTATTGCTATGAATTGACTACTTCATGGAAGAAAAAAATTCATCTATATTTAATACGAGATATCTATCTAATGTTAAGAATTGAATACTTACGAGGAAACACCCCCAGGTGAAGCTCCGCTTTTGACGTGATATTTTGCTCATATGTAGGCCTTAGTGAGACTAGAAAAACGTCAAAAGGGTTTGGATTTCTATGGCTTCCTTGTTGAAATATGAAGTTCACATCTTCTCTAACAGCACTATAATTTATATTGGAGTATGATTCAATGTCAATTTTCTCACAACGATATGAAATATAGACTTACAGTTTTTTTTTTGCATGAACTGCATTTCATAGTGGTCATGTTTGACACACTGTTTTAGCTCTGACAAAGACTTCTGACCACACATATCAAGCTTCCGTGCCTAACACTAGCTTGCATGAAAGAGAGCTTCCAAAATGAAGCCTAGTTTCTTTAGACGAGTCATGTATGAACATGTGCTTAATTTAATAAGGGACAGTATTGACTTTATTCTCTCATACTGATTCATTATGGTTGGTACGCGAGCGGCTGTTTAATGGCTGATCCTAGCCACTTGTTTTTACAGTCAAAGATATTTGCTTCAGTCTGGAAAAGTCGGTCTGCGAAGAGGAAAATTGTGACAACTTAGCTTTTGTCAAGTGTAGTTAGTATCGCAAAGATTTATGTTTTGAGCATTTTTTCCTTGACTATCACATGGGCTAATTCATCATATTATCAAAGTTCAGTTGTTTTGGCTGCATTCCTTACGTTCACTTTATGTTAGTGTTCATATTTGTTCATGATACATAAGGATTTCAGCATATACTCAATAAGACTACTGCATATGCAGGAACTTATGAAAAAAATAGAGTTGACCTTCGAAATCTTTGCTAGAGCTAAAAAAGTGTGTCACATATGGCCACTATAAAATGCAGTTCACGCAAAAAAACTGTAAGTCTATATTTCATATCGTTGTGAAAAAATCGACATTACATCGCATTCCAATATAAATCATAGCACTGTTAGAGAAGATGTGAACTTCATATCTCAACAAGGAAGCCATAGAAGCCCAAACCATTTTGACGTCTTCCTAGTCTCACTAAGGCCTACATATGAGTAAAATATCAGGTCTAAAAGCGGAGCTTCACCTGGAGATGTTCCCCCGTTAGTGGAAAAAAAAGAATGCATATATATAATAAAAAGGGTCTATCATCCTCTATCGCCACAGAGTTACTACTACTTGAAGAAAAATATTTCTGTATTAAGACATGTATACTTGATAGGAAAAAAACATAGTACACATATTTTTTTTTTATTCCTATTAGTTAACTATCAGGAACAAAAAAAGAATTGTGTCAAGAAATAAATCTCTCTTTCATATATTGAAAAAGAATTACATTTATTTAAACAAGCGACATCTGTCTTCTATTGTCACAAACTACGTAGTTACATAAAAAATGCATATGATATGTAAAACGCACATTGTCTTCCTATCCTTACGTATTGATACATCAATAACAAAGAAAAAATATCTTTTTACCCTGAAAAATAGAATATTAAATGGAGAAGGATAAACTCACATTAAAAAGAAGTATGTATGTCTATATTGTTACGAATTAACTATTCTCAGGGAAAAAAATATGCATGTCATATCAGATACAAACTCATCCATAATAATCATTTCAACGTCAGAAATGAAATATTTTTCAACTAGTTTATTGCTCATAGAGAGCTAGTCAATAGATCAAGGCATAATTCTTTTCATAAGAAATAACTTTCGAATTCGATACATGTCTAAATATGTCTTTTATATATTTTGATCAAATACGTTCAAGAGTATATAACTATTTAATTATGCTACAATATTTTTCACAATGAATGTTTATACCTACACGTTGATGTAAAGCATTTTTTGATGTACAATAGGTGATTTTTGGTTGAAATAACTTTTTAACTACTTTTCTGCATAAATATGACAAAAATTGGACAGAAAAACGAATTAAAAAAAGTAGGAAAAAAAATCAACAAAGACATAATTTTTTGTACGTTTTTGAACTAACCGAAAAAGACACATAAAAATCGACTAAAAGTCTCCATTTATGTTCAAAAAGCGTCAAAATTCGATATATGTATCTGCTACGTAAGTAAAGTTGACCTCCGATGCGTCTAGGAATTTGTTCTAAGTACAACTCGATGATAGTGCAAACTATGTGGTCAAAACGTCCGAAAAAAAACGGATTTTCCACTATAGGGTCCATTAACCCATTTCCGTAGATCTTGTCCCGATTCGCTCTGGAACTTGTTCCAGGTAGAACTTGACGAGTTCTACCCAATGGTATGCTCAGATGTTCCACAACTCGAAGTATAATTCTTCAGATTCTCACTAGCGCCATTTATCACCCGAAAAAAATCATACTTCAACCTATGGAAGATCTGAGCATACCATTGGATAGAGCTCGTCGAGTTCTACTTGGAACAAGAATAAGAGCCTTGAAACAAGTTTCAGACGGAATCGGGACAAGATCTACGAAAATGAGTCTATGGATCCTATGATAAAACAAAACAGTATTTTGGACTTTTTTCCTTACATAGTTTGAGCTATCCAAAATCCAATTATACCATTAGATACAACTCATAGACCTGTACTTGGAAACAAGAATAGGAGCTTTGGAACAAATTCTTTGGCAAATTGGAGCAGGATCTATGGGTAGGAGGTCTCTCATTCATTGGATAAAAAGCCAATATTTTGGACTTATTGACCATATAGTTTGAGTTATAAAAAAAGCTAATTATACCATTAGATAGAGCTCATGGAGTTGTACTTGGAACAAGTTTCTAAGCGAATCGGGGCAGGATGTACTCGAATCTGGAGCTAACTTCACTTACGTCTATCTGCTTGGGTAGTTACATATTAAAGGAGAAGAGCAAACAAAAGAATGTCTACCGAGAGTTCTGCCACTATTAACATTGCTTCCTTTGAATGCAGCTTGAATCCAATGTATCCATGGAGCAGATGTTGGATCGTCTTGCTGAGGTGCATCAGGATCGGCCATGAGCTAGATAATAGAAATATGATATGATGGAAAATAAGAAAAAGAAAATAAATTACTAATGTAAAAAAGGGCATTTTTCGATCAGTTTTCAATTCGATTTTAACAGTCGGAGCTGTTTGAGTATCATTTTGTTTTAGTATTTCTCCATCGCGAGCCCGTTTATCGTGAAATTTAATGATAATTTTATTGGCTTCGCATTTTCCAGCTTGGTACTGATTTAGTAGATATTGCACATCCGAACTAATATCAGCAATTACAATTGAAATGATGATGGTAAATGAAATTAATATAAATGCGCAATAATAAGAATTAGACGTCATAAGGTGTGTGTGTTTTGATGAAAAATAAGAGAGACGTCCCAAATCATTATTATTGAAGTATGTGTATAATTTGATTATACAACGAACGAATGAAGAGTTGAGAGGAAAAAAGAGCAATAGAAACGCTAGATGGAGCAGAACTATGACTTAACTCTGTTTCGCTTGACAACGAAATATGATTAAAATGCTCTAATACTCTTTTTTAATCTCATAGATCATCATCAATCTAAGACTAGGGCTTGATATTTAATAAACATATTAATACAATTACACACACATTGATGAGAACTATTCTAAAAAATTATGAGTAACTCATAGCGCACTGTTTCTTTATAATGAGTCTTCGATTCTTTATCCGTATGATTATTTCGCGATAATGAAGCAACAACTTGTCTCCAGCAGTAGCTAACATCAAATTTACTTACAAGAGATCGTCTTCTCTTCTTATTTTCTTCAATAATTCACCGATCAAGAGCATTTCTGCTGTTTGACAATTTCAACCGATCCATTTAGCAAGAATCTGATAATGAAAATAACGGACAGGAAATGTAAAACAAATATTTTGACATTAGAACAATTTTTTTTATCGAAATTCTATCCATTTTATTCTCTTCATTTTTCATTTAGTAATATAAATGGCTGCCTCAATTGATCAAAAAAGTCTATTCATTAGATTCTTTTTACCTTAGAAGCCGACGATTTGTTCTGATTGATAATTGTTATTATCTAAAAGTACTTCGACTACTTACAGCTGTATCTATAATGGATTAACCCACCGACATTCAATTTCTTTTTTTTGCAAACGATTTTTTTTCTCAATCTATATATATTCTTGTGAACTCATATATTGTGATTATACATAGATGTAAACTTAGTAAGAAACACTGTTAACATAGCTATTGTGTTTTGAAAATGCCATGTTTCAGTTAGATCTCCATAAAAACCGTACCTATTGGAAGTTATGCTAATAGACTGTACAACTATTTATGAATAAAATATAAGCTTAGAAAAATACAATAGTCAAGGTAATAATCCTCAGATGTTCTTGTCCAGAGATGGGGGTAGCTTCGACTCCGGAGCAGAGCAGTAGTACAAAATTTCTTGTTGGAACGGAATGGGAGCTGTCAATTTCTGTTCTTGTCAAATGATCGAATTCTTCACTATTTCACATGAAACTGAACAATTCTATCTGTTTAAACCTCTTTTCTAACCCATTTTCCGACTGACTCACTACAATAAATGCGAGAAAATCATTTTTCAGAAAAGTGTTATAATATTTACAGATCCACCTAAAAATACTGTTTGGTTCATGACTGAAATTTCATTCGAGTCTTTGATTGATGACTGTGTGATATGACATTTGCTTAGATCTTTTTGTAAAATAGAGATGAGATGTGTTGATGACATACCTAACATCATATCTAATTTTTCAACATACGGACCTAACCCACTTTAACCTAAAATAATTAATAACGTTTCTGATAGTTTGTTTGAAAACTTTCAATATACTTCATTTCGATCATTATCTTTCAAAAGAAAAATCATTATAAAATTGAATAATTAAATGGCCTTAGTGGACAGCGTATATGATTAGGTAGAGGAAGCTAGATGATTTCTCTCCTCTAAATCTTTTCGTCCATTATAGCTTTCTTCTTGAAAATTTTCATTACAAGCAATTAGCAGATTGTAAAATTTTAATGAACTGAGTGAATTATGCAAAAGAAAATCATCTATTTTCTCTCGAACAGAAAGCTTTCACTCAATATTACAAGGAAAACCAGTTGTTGTTGTTTCATCAACAGAGTTAATCTACTTAGTA